CTCTGCTGGGGCTGTGATCTGCTTGCCCTCCTCCTGCCTCTGGGGCTGGGCACCCTCCTGGGGACAGCAGGGAGGGGACACCCAAAGGCTCCTGAAGGTTTGCAATGCACCGAGTCTCTTTATGGTTGCCATGTGCAAAAAGAAGCTTTTATCCTTTCTCTCTGAGGATTCATGGGCAGAGTTTCTCCAGTCTTACTCACTGAAATGGATGAACAGCTCTAGATGAAACTTTCAACAACTAATGACAGTAAAGTTAGCCAGAGGCAAAAACCTAGCATGAAGAAGTTCAGCCTAAATGATTAAATTTGGCAAAGTTTTAAGACAGTGAAAGAGAAAATCTTAAAAGGGGAAGTTTTGGATGACCTTAATGCAATGCACTGCAGCCTGTGGTGTCTGTAATAGGTTATTTCCAGAGCATCTGAGTGTCTTCCAGTAGTGCATTAAGCAATGTAACTAACATCTGTCACGAGCTTCATTTTCCCTCTCATCTCCTCCCTCGAGGGAAATTCTCTCATTTCTTAACCTCTACTGGACCCCCACTCAATAATGTTCATTACCTCAAGAGAAAAAGGAAAAGCCTATCAAAAAGAGGGAAAAAAGAAAAGAGATAGATAATAGATCTAAGATTCAGGCTGCTTTGGTGACATTTTAAAAGTGTATTTTGCCAAGCAAAACAGTATTTATTTTAAAAAAAAATTCTTTACGTGATATTTAAGCATAGAAAAGGAAAGACAAAATTATTTTTCCTTCACCATGATTATGCAGCAATTTATCAACAAAATGAAACATCAACATCTGACTGGGATTATTTATTATACAGTAAGGCATTTATTTTTTGTTCACTTCACCAGGAACAGTGTCTCTGTTATGGCTAGTTAGCCATCTGTGTCCAAAGAGCTTTCAGGAAAGGATTAAACTGTCATTTGTTTTATTTCCTTTCATGAAATAACTCTCTTAACAGGGCTGGGGCAAGACTTGGACATTGCTGGACTTGTTACTTTAAGGTGGCATTTAAAGGAGTAACTGGATCCTCCCTAGAGCTAAAGCAAAGCAATGTAAAGTTTGGGAGGTTGTTTTTGTTCTTTTTGCTCCTCACACATGCAGTGTCCTACTGGCAATGGCATAGATCAGGCAACGTCTAAAGCAGAAGCAGAATTATCTGTGGATTGCTTTTTTTAAATCTGATTCATTAATTCAATTAGCCAATAAGGGTTTAAGCACTGAGAGAACGTGCAGCTAATCAGAGCTGGAAGCAGAAGGCTGATAAAAATAACCCTGGGAGGCAGAGATATTCCAAATCCTCCAGGTGCAGGGGATTCCCAGCCCAACAGAAGGCAGAACCATGGCTTCCCTTGCCCACCAAAAAACTTCTGGCACTTCTTCCCTGCAAAGAAAGAGCAAAAGAAGCCACCTGGTGTGGAGACTGTGCCCTCAGTAGGACCAAACGTGTGGGAAAACTGTTTGCCAGAAGGATGTACCTCGTGGCTCTTGCAGGGTGTCCTGGGGCTCACCAGGAGCATGAGCACCAGCAGCAGCTCACTCAGGACCTGTGTCCACAAACCAAAAACACTTTTCCGAGAAAGGGGTGGATTTGGAAAGTTTGATGCCAGCAGCTCCTCACGCCACACTTACACTGAGTGATTTTCTGGAAGCACTTGGCAGCCAAAGCTCTCAGGCTCTTCCTGAAGTGACAACTGTGCTCTGTTCAAACATAACCTGCACAGGAGCTCTTGGCCAGAGTGCAAACAGAGGAGACCCCTGGAGCAGCTGGACCCAGCACTGGATGGACCTCGAGGGGGACACTTTAGCCAAGGAGAGCTCTTACAAGAGCCAAACATTTGAAAGAATCAGAAAGCAGGTTTTCTCAAGGCCTTGGCTCCAGGGATCACACATGACACTGCAGTGAATTCCACATATCACCTCTGATTGAGTGGAAGAGCTCATTTGTCATGAGTGAGTGGTAGTTAAAGAACCAGGTATCCCATGTGAGCCACTGGCTGCAGCTCTGGAGACTGCTCCAGCAGGAGCTGCTCTGCCACAGCAAAATGCAGAATTGCAGGAGAAATAAAATACTGACATCTATAGGATGTTCGATATTTCTAGCAGCTACAAAAGGAGAAAACCCATAAATTAAAGACTATCTATTCTTTACTAAAATTTTCTGCATTCACTCACATCAAGAGCCATTTCAGCTTTTCTTCCATCATTGTTCAGGGGCTACTCAATGCAGCCCCAAAATCGCTGTGTCCTGCCTGGACTGGCCCGCAGGACACAGCCAGTGTGACTCCAGGGATGATAGGGAATGGGGTAGGATAATGAATGGGATAAACAGAGGCACAGTGGGTGTGGACAGAGCTCTGCAGCAATGACAGCCCTCCCTGTGAGGGGATGGCTCTCCTCCAGGTACCAGGGAGTGTCACCAGCTCTGTCCCCCATGGGCAGGACAGCAGCTTCCCCTCGGGATGCCTCTTGCTGGGAGCACACGAGGGGCTCATTCAGGCCACTGCTGCCTCAGTGGCACCGTGGGCAAGGAAACATCGACCTCTGAGGCTGACCTGGGACCCATGGAAGGATCAAAGCTGGTACACACAGCCCATCCTGGGTCACCAGTGCCCCCAGTGGGGCTGTGCTGCACCTCCTGCCCTCATCTGAAGCTGCTCTGCCTTCTATCCTTGCTGGGTTTGAAATAACCTGCTCACGGGCTGTGAATCCACTGAGCTGTGACCCTGCTCCCAAACCAACAGGAGCATCTAATTCTCCTGATCAATTCCCAAACAGAAGCCAAGAAAGAGGAAGGACACCCAGGGCAGGCAGCATTTTCTTAGCAGCAAAACAATTACAACACAGTTAGACTGTATCTGTTTACATTCCCAAATCGAAATAATCTTTCTCTTATCCCCCTGCCTTACCTTCCCTAACATTCCACTACCATGGTGTCAGCAGGGAATCCTGCTGCACTGTAATGGGGCTGCACTAAAGAGCTGGAGTCATGCTAGAGACTGAAATTCTCAGTTATCCAGAAAAAGCATTTCATTTTCTGCTTTGGACTGAAAATGCCTCTTCTTAGAAAGAATTGGGGTTTCCCGGTGTTCAGGAGGAAGACCTGGGAAGATGAAGTAGTTAAAACACTTTCCTTTTTAATGGCTATTTTGTAACCTTTTTCCTTTCAACTTTGAGAAAAGCTTTCTGCTTTCTCTATTTACAGAACTCTAAAATAGGCAAGGTTGATTGATTTCATTAGTGATACCATACAATTCCTAGGAATTCCTAGGATTCTTGCTATGACATTTCCTCAAGGGAGCTGAGAGAAGATGCAATCACTTCCTGAGAAACAGTGAGAATATCACAAGCAGGGACAATGTCAGAATTTGGTTTCTTTGCTGACTTCCACAAGTGTCCCTTCGTTTTCTCCTTCCCCATCCCTCTGCTACTAGGAATCTGCTAAAATACACCTGTGGGATGTTTGGGCTTTTAAATCTGTGCCTTAAATGTCCCAACAGTTCCCAAACTTGCAGAAAGTTTATTCCTATCAGGTCCTTAATCTCAGTTTTCCTGGGAAAATCTCTGCAAGTATCTTCCTTCAGAAACCCAGTACACAACATGCCTGAGCTTAAGAGTTTTTCCCCCCACCCCATGAAAACTGAATGTTCTCCAAAAGATTAAGATTTTTAGATTTAAAATTCTTGTGTTTAGGCTGAAATTACAAGCTAATAACAACAATCATGTCATTAAGTCTGGATGAAAGGTTTTGATCATGGGGAAAGTACATTCCAACACAGTTCAAATGAAAAATCTCAAAGGTTTGAGCTCCTCCCTCTCACACTCCACCTCCTCTCCCCCTCCCTGTGCTGCTGCAGAAACACAGTAAAGAGCTGGGGAAAAAAAAAAAAAGGAAGAAAAAAGAATTTTCCCTCCACAATGCAAGCAAAACAGTAACAAGTTTCAATTGTAACAAGATACTTATTTTCTGCACAAAACACATTTTGGTTTCTTTTCCAACAGGCTCCAGCTCACAGTAAAGGTGTAACATGTAAAGACAAATACAGCTTATATTTTAGGAATTTCCATGAATTTTATGGATTGCATTGATGAGAAATGCATTAGTGCACTTTGAACTGCCAGTAAGAATTTTGTTGTGGGATATACTTTGAATAATTCCTTTGCAAAAAGCATGATTATATATTCATTAGAAATGGGAAGTCATCATGAAAGACCCAAGCTTCTAAATTAATAGTATTTCAATAAATAAGCTGGCATAAATTCAACATACTGATTGTCCAATTCATCTTCCTCTAAGCTAAAATATATCATTGCTCTCTAATTGCAATTCTCAGCCACGCCATACTCTTCATCTTAACTCTAAATGGTCTGCACATATTGAATCATTTGTGGTGCGATGCACAATCCTCACCCTTAATTGCATGAATATTTTATTTTTGGAACAACACAGCTCAACAATAGGCTTCATTTTCTTTTTTGACTTAGTCTCTATTAAAGTAAAGCATTTACAAAAGCTCTGTGAGCAGGGAGAGAACCTGAGTTGCCCCTCCATGACCAACAGCTCCCAGCTAATCACAAGTCAGCCCCACAGCCCCGCGAGCAGAGCAGTGATTAAACTGTGCCTCAACAAAGCAACTTTGTGCACAGCTCTGCCGTGCTCCCAGCACAAACCTCTCCCTCCTGTTATGATTGGTATTCCCCAGATGTTTGACTTCGAGCTCAGCCTTGGCAGGCAAGTCTCTGTGGCTGCAATTCAAGTGCCAGGCTTGAGCAGCTCCTGTGTTTATCCTGGTAATTTACACTTTGTGCTGGCTTATGGGCAGTTGTGTACTTGGTTTTACAGCCACCACTTCAAACCAAGGAGTCAGTGGAAGATGCTTCCCAATTCCGCCACTGGCAGGAGGCCCCGCATCATCAAACCATCTCTCAAAACAAACAAGCCAACATAAAAGAACCATTTGCTTTAGAAATGATAAAAAAATGCCTGAAATCTTACTTACTAGGAAGTCTTCTTCACAGTACACCTTGCCATTGACATTGTAGAATGCTTTCCCTCGTAGTCTTCTCCCTGTTAAAACACAGGACCATCAGAATTTTGTTCTTCATCCCCAAACCCAGTAGTTCAGAATGCAAAGTGCAAAGCACATCCCCTGTGTGTCTGTGGGGTCTGTTCCTGGCCCCTCTCCTCCCTGGAGGGTCCATCCAGAGCCAGGCCTGAGGGTCAGGCTCTTGGCTCTTACCAAATCAGGTACCAAACCTCGCCTTAGGTACCAAGTAAAAGTTATGTTTAAGTATTTTGTTATGAAACCCAGCTGATAACAGTTGCTGAAAAACTTGCAATCTAAGCTCAAAAATGATTTGGGGAAAAAGCTCCTTTGCAAATTGAGACAATTTTCTTGGCATGTAAAATCCCAGCAGGCTCACATCCACTGCCGTCAACAGCAGCAGCGTTTGTCTCCAAAGGACTACACAAAGGATACTGCATATGGATGTTCCTGCACCCTCAAAAATATTAATAATCAATGCCACAGCAGTTCCCTGCAACACTAAAGCAGTACAAGGCACATCTAATGGAAGAAAGGGCAGTAAAACACTGAAAATGAGAGATTTTGTATTCAAGTTTTGACATTTGCCATTTCATTAGACCATGTGGAACTCGACTAGCAGCCTGTGGTAGTCATGATCTGCTGGCTCCCTTTACAGTGAAGAAATGCACAGCATTCACAGAGAGTCTCAACAGAAAGGATTCAAACCAGGAATGCAAGAACCACCAAGCCAAATAACTTTGTAGATAGAGCACATCAGAGCTGTCTTACACCAGAGTTGCTCTGTTGAGAGCAGTGCTGCTTCAGCAGAGTAAAACCAGAGAGGGAGAAGGGAAAGCAAACTCATCCCAAGTCACCTCATTCCCACTGTGCCAGGGTCCCACTGGCCAAAGCTCCCAGGCACGGAGCTCTCAGCAGCCCTTTGCAGCCTCACATGGACAGGCTGCCTCGGGCTGTGCCAGCAGCAACACAGGCAAGGGAGAGGGCAAGAGGAGTTCCCAGGACAACAGATCCCAGGTCACTGCTGGAGCTTCACTCCATGGAATCAGCCTGGATGTCTCCTCCAGCTGCACCAGGAACACCACTGATCCCTGTGGGGGAGCTGAGCCAGCTGGCCAGCACAGAGGGGCAGGAGTGCTCTCCACGGTTTCCATAAACAGTGTTGAGGAAAATATTATTAATTTGCAGTGTTTGAAAACACCTTTTCCATGTTGCCACTGTGATCTGATCCTGGGAAACAGTGTGTGGCACAAAGGAACTGGGATCTGGGCTGATGCTCTTGGGAAATCACATGCTGCATGCGGTTGTCTGGTGGTTTTACTGTCGTGGCTGAGGGAAATGCTTCTTTTGTGTGCACATTCTTGGGCTGTCGATCTCACGGCTGCTGTCTCCATACTGCTGGTAGGTGGAGTCAGCTCTTGTTTGTCTTTCCAGCTCCTGGTGGCTCTGGTGGGGACCAGGACCCTGGGGCCGTGGGCAATGTACCCTCTGAGAGTCTGAGGTGAAGCTGGGCCATCCCCTGAACAAGGCTGGGACAGCAACCAGGGGACCTTGGGGCCTCTCTCAACTGATGCAGGAGCAACCACATCTGCATTTTCCCTCCTGCTTGTCAAAGCTGTTTTTACACCGCTCTAGGGAAAGGTAAAGTACATGGAATGAAAGGGAAAAACGAAAGAGGCCAGAATGGCTTTGTAAAGGACATGTTGTCTCTGTCAGATCCAGCCTTGGCACACAACTTGTCTTCAGCTGGTGGACATGAAGTGTCCAGCCAGAACAGGGACCTGCCTTGGATGTGTTGATGCAGCACATCCCCCGTGCCCACTCACCCCAGAGCTGGGTGTTTGCTGCAGGGGAAGCAGCGCTGGCCATCAGGGACAAATCCCAGCGCTGGCTGCTGGAAGGGTCTCTGCAGGAGAGTGGTGCAGGGAGGCACCAGCATCTCCCAAGGCACTGCCAAAGGGGCAGGAGGACCCTGACATCCCACCCTGTACCCCAGCCTGGCAGTGCTGAGCTTGAATGGCACAAATTCTGCTCTGGTTCTTTCCTCAGCACAGCATCACTGGCAGGAACCAGTGGGGCCAGCACTTTCCTGGACTGGGATGGAGCGGGAAGCCTCTGATCCAAACCAACAAGGCAAATCCAGTGTTCTGGAGCACCTCTCAGACACATCAGAGGTCTCAGCTGCATTTGGCAGCTGCCTGCCCTGTGCCCAGCCCCACTGGGAGTGTCCCCATGCCACCTCTGCAGCACACAGCACTCCCAGCACAACACCTCTCAAAACTGAGGGAAAATACCATTTCCCCCATTTTTCAGCTGAAAAATACAGGACACCCGTTAAGGAACTGACTTGCCTAAACTCATAAAGCAGGCAAGCAGCTTGCCCACATGATAATGACTATTACTAGCAATGATTAACAAGACTGACAGGCCTTTTACCTTGCAAGAATTTCATTCAAGGACTGTACAATAATTATCTCATAAACAAGAAACAGCAAGTTATCACTCAACCAACCATGGATGCCTATATTGGCTTCAACATCCTGCATTTTAGAAATAAAGGCAAAAGTGTACATTCCTGTCCTGTGGAAGGGTTGACTGAATGACAGCACTGAACATGGTCAAACATCAGCCTCGGAGTGCATCATGTGCAAACTGCAGTCGAGAGGGAAGTGCTGCCAGGGAGACAGGAATCCTGAGGAGAGGCAGTGCTGTGGCCCCAGCCCCAGGTGGGTGCATCACCTTGATGTTGGGATGCTTTCCCCGAGCTCCAGCTGCTGGACAAGGGGGCTTCACCTCTCAAAGGGCTGGAGCTACTCGGGGACCAGGACTGTTGGGTGTAGCTGTGACCTGTTACTGTCAATAAGGCAGAAATTACGAGTAAAATCCCCCTGATGTTGCTTTAGCCAGCTGATGCCAGCACCTGGCCAGCCAGGGAAGGTAACATCATCCTGCCCACTGGCACACAGGCCCTGCTGCTTGGCTTTCCTTTGAATGACTGTGTCTAGCCAAGCCTGGTTACTATTTGCTTTCATCATATTGAAACAAAAAAAGTCAAGAGCTTCTGACAAAACTTGATGCAACTTGCTGACGGCTCATTACAATAACAATGAGCAGCCTAGCACAGAGTTCAGAGTATGGGGTTTCACAAACACTGCACTTGGTTCCTCCTCCTCCTCCTGCTGGATTCCCACCTTGGCATGCCTGCCCCGTCAGACCAGTTTGCAGCAGCAGCAGTGAGGAATCGGCTCTGTTTCACACCCAAAGAGCAGCAGAACAGGGAATGCACAGGGGATGTATAGGGGATGTATAGCGGATATATATAGGGAGCACACAGGGAATGCACAGGGGATGCACAGGGGATGCACAGGGAGCACACAGGGGATGCACAGGGGATGTATAGGGGATGTACACAGGGAATGCACAGGGAGCACACAGGGAATGCACAGGGGATGCACAGGGATGTACAGGGGATGCATAGGGGATGCACACAGGGGATGTATAGGGGATGTACACAGGGAATGCACAGGGAGCACACAGGGAATGCACAGGGATGTACAGGGGATGCATAGGGGATGCACAGGGAGCACACAGGGGATGCACAGGGGATGCATAGGGGATGCACAGGGGATGCACAGGGGGATCTGGCCTGGGGCAGGAGCCACCCAGCTGTGTGCAGGCTCCTGACACCAGCAGCAGCTTTTGGGGGGAAGCCCCTTCTCCCCCAAGTGCTCTTCAGCCTTGTTTTCCCACAGTAAACAAAGATTTTGCACTGCCAGTGACAAACAAATAGTTTCCATTTCCCAACAGCCCCACCTTGGAGGGGGAGCGAGCACCAGGAGAAGGGAGTTCCACCACCTTGGGTGGGAGGCAGAGACCTCACAAACGCCCCAGCAAACAGTGCAAACATTCATGAGATAATCTAGAAGATAATAAAATGAAAGCTAGAAATGACTCTATCCCAAGGACCAATCACAACTGGTGATTGCAACCAACATGACAAACATCCAAAAGAATGCAGGTTTTGTGGAACTCTAAAAAAGAAATAGAAATTAAAGCAGAACCATCTCTAAGTTTTTAACAGTGGTTTGGACATTTAACCATTTTATAAATGTCTGTTATTTAAATGTGTCCATCAAGTATTTCCTGCACAATTTTTATCTCCTACATGTCACAGACTAGAAGGAATGGGACAGCTGCTCCTTTATCAAAGGGTCCAACTTAGACAGCTTGCAAAAGGAAAAATGAACCCCAGTTCACTTGGGCTGTCCACAGTATTCTCCCCAGTCTTCACAACACTTTGCTGCCTGGTGAGAACACACCAGCCAGGAAGCCAAGATGGAACACAACTTTTTTTCACTCCTGTTTCAAATGCTGCTCCAGGTCCCCATGGAACAAAATGTGAATGAGCCCAGATTTTACAGTCTTGGGGACATGGCCCAAAAGAGCACTGGAAGTGTCCTGCCTTTCCCCTTCAGCCTGGAAAGCATCATTGCTGCTGCTGGCTGTGAGTGTTTGCCTGTGGAGAGGTCAGTTTATCAATCACAGCCTTCAGTGGAAGATCTCCTGTCTCACACAGGATGGATGCAACCGGAGCAGGGGCTGACACCCCCCTGGCTGCTGTAAAACAGGAGATAGGAATGTCTCATTGTCACAGCAGGGTTATTAGACCTAATTATTGTTTGCAGCATGCTTTGAAGTTGAAAAGTGCTGAGCATTATTATAATATTTCAAGTTCTTTGATGATTGAAAACACACAACCCTTTGGTAATCATGATTTAGTAGTAGTGTGAAGTAAGCAAGTTCATGTGAGAAGCCTGCATTGTCTCCGTGCCTGACGCTACTCAAACACAAGCAGCTCCCCTCTGACATCATGGGAATGCTGCAGCCCCAGCCCTGCCTCCCAGATAATGCCTGCTGCATCCCAGAGATTACCAGCGTGCTGAAAAACCCACAGCAGAGCACCCCCTTACCATCAGGCTCCCTCTCCTGCCACTCTCAACAGAGATGTGCCTCTATTAACTTC